TTACAGTTTGATTGCAGAGTGCGTCCTGTTCTGGGGCACTTGGTAGGTCAGGTTCAGGTTTGATGCTCAGCACTTGACCTAGTTTGCTTGTCAAGGACCTACTGACTTTTCATAGACTAAGGAAAGACTGCCTTGTGTCATGGAGGATGTGCAATATACCCGAGGAATTTGGCCTGTAGAAGAGAATATGAGCGTAAGACTGCTTGAAATGTGCCATTTTGTTTAAGTTCTCTTTAGAAAAAGAAAAAAATAAAATTGCTAAACAAAGAAAAATTCCTGTTGGGCAAGACAGTTTCTGACAAGTTCTCTTCAAGGCAGACACAGAAATTAAAAAGCATTAAGATTACAACGCCTTCAAGATAAAACTGTTTTGCAGTGCTTGCTTTGTGCTGTTCCGATTTCAAGCATTTGTAAGTTTTAAAACCTGTTTTAAAATATTTGTTTTCAAGAACTTTAATCTTATGTAAGCAAGCACCTCTCCCAGACAAAGATGTAAAAGGTAGTTGTGTTAGAGGCTGAATGTGGCAGCCGTACAAAAATAATTTCAAATAACCTCCAAAGATAAATTGGATATTGGAAAGCATCAGAAAACGTGCTGCCGTGGTCGCTTTTTAGGTATAAGTACACAAAGGAATTAAGGAACGGCAGCGTAGGAAGGTTATGCAGTAAATTCTTCTGCATTGTGGATCCGTTCCATCTTCTGGGGTCAAACTGATGTACGAAATGATAGCGTGGAGTGTCAGCTTGAGTTTTGGAGCATGTTGTCGTGCTGTTAGTAAAAGTTGGATTAAAATTCTTTGCTGTAGTGCCCAGAGATTTTGTTTTCTGGGAGGGTGACGTTTCGTGAGATTTCACCACCACAGCAGCTCTGGTCGAAGCCGGCTGACACAGTTCAGTTAACAGCCAGACGGCAACGCGGCCAGGCGGGCTTTCAGGCGGTGGCCGAAAGCCCGTGGATGCTTCTGCGGAGAGCTCCTCGTACTGCATACTTTTCAGGGAAAGATGCTGAAAAACTCTTTTGTGCAAACTGTTGGCCTGTGAGGCGCTTACGCTCTGTCAATGCGTGTGAGAACAGGGCACGCTTGCTGCTGCGATGGTTCTTTGTGGCTACGGTTGGTCTTGTGGGTGCAAAGACTAAGGCGATGTTGCCCACGAAGAGGAGCTCCTTACGCAGAGCTGATTCGTCCTGTCGGCGTGTCTAGCAGCTGGCTCACGTGGAAGAGCAGCTTAGCTTTCATGCAGTTACCAGTGTAGGAAGTTTTGCAGGGAACGAAGTCTGGGCTGTGGTGCTGGCAGCTTATGATTCAAAAGCAGCTGCTCATGTAACAGGGTTGCTCCGCTTTGCTTACCGGTTCCCCTTTCTGTCTTTGAAGCAGAAGCACGCGCTTCCCATGCTGCTTCTCACGATACCTGGTGCCCCCATACCTCCAGCCAGCTGCCAAAATCTCCCTCTTGCCGTCTCTACAGCTTCTGTGCGTTGGCAACGCACAAATCCGCTGGCCGCAGCTGCAGCGGGGTGTGCGCTCGGCATCAGGCTGGCTTCCCTGCCACGCGCGACTGTTCCTGGGGCGTCTCGGCTCCCTGCCTCTCCGTGACAGCAGGCCCGGGAAAGAAAACACCGGGTAGGCTTCGAGAGTTGGATGGAGCACCGACTCGCCCTCCCCTTATTCCTGATCAGTTTTTCTGTGTGGAATGGGTGATTTCTTCGAAGAAGCCAGGGGATTGCCAAGCAGCGTGTCTCCTGCTCTGCTTGAGTCTTAAGCAGACAGCTGACATTTGAAGGAAGGCTGAAGGCGACGCATCTGTTGCCTGGCAGAGCTGACATAATCCCTTTCAGCGGTTTGACGATAATCCCTTGAAAACGAATAGATGGTCAATTCCAGCTTGATTATTCTCATTGACTGTTTTTAAGATGCTTGTGTGGTTGGCCTTAGGCTTTACCGTGCTCTATGCAAAGGAGCTGGGCGTGCGGGGTGATTCTTCTGGTTCCACCCTCTCCCTGGGCCCTTCGTGATCCCCCCGTCTTCCCCCCGGGGACCAGACAGGGCGACCGGTGCATGTAGCACTGGCATAGAGTAATATTGCCGACTGAATGAAAAGGCTGCTCTGCTGACCTTATTCAGTGTTGTATGCAGCGGAGCTCTTACCTGCAGTAGGTCTGTTTCCTTAACAGCTTAAATCCTTGAATAGTGTTTAATAATATGTTGAGCTTCAGGTAGTGATTTCCCTCACGAGTTTATATTTTAAATGGTTAAATATAGTTGCAGCTCCTGGTGGATCAGTGGCGGGCGAGAATGAGACTCCCGGCGCTGACTCACGCTGCGTGCTGTAGCTGACGAGTGGTGCCTGCCCTCCGAGATGGCTCCGGGCAAGCCGTGACAGGAAGCCCCAATATATTTACAGCTGGTGAAATTGCTCATGTCTGACTACTTGGTGCTAGAAAAACTTCACGCTGTCACAGTGAGTAGGAAGCATCTTCAGGGAATGCCGTGATTTAAAGCTAAAAACTGAGCCTTGCTTCATCTGTTAGAAAAGTTAATTTTTTTTTAGCTGTTAGTGCAAGATGAGGCACATAAGGCGGTTCTGTTCCTGATGTGGCTGAGTTCGTGACTCCGCAGACAGTGTTAGAGCCTTCGTGGCTATCTGGTGGGAACAGGGACACGGCTGTAACCTGGTCAGTTCAAATAAATCAACTCTCAGTTGCGTTCAGGTGCAACTTTGGGAAGGTTTTAACAGCGGCACAGTGTTGCTGCAGCAAAGAAGGGCTGCATGGTGCCTTATTGGAGCAATTGGGAGGTTAGGAGATCTGAAAATACTGGGAACTTCACAGTAGACAGAATGAATTCCACTTTACTCATTCAGCTGCCAGAGAGAGTGGGAGGATTTCATCCGAGAAACCTACTGTTTGGAGGCTAATACGGAAGGTGGAAACGTAGTGCCCAGTGTGGCTGGGAAGAGAAGGATATTGCCTTAATTTAAGTCTGTCTGCTTAATCTAAAAGTTCAATTTCCTGGCACTGAAGTCAATTAAAATTTGCAAGTCTTGCGTTTGCATGCTTGAAAAAGGGGCTAAGTTGAAACATGTCGCTCCTGATGGAGGACAGAAAATACAGGGCAGGGAAGTGGTGAGGTGTGTGCCCAGATGTAGGTAAAGGTGTGACGGATCAGGGAGTAAAGAAAGCAAACAGAAGACTGTGCTGGGCAATTACGAGCTGTTTTAAGGAACTGAAATTAAGAGGTTCAGCA